GCGCCACTGCACCTGGCAACAAGTGTGTTATTTTCAGATACATGGGCAAATGCTTTCTGTACCTCTGCCCAGCAACTGCCCTTATTTGAGTCCAGGCCCATGTCAATGCCCAATTCAAAAGGCCATCAGAATCTGGACCAGTTTATGAGTTCAACTTGTGGCTTTAGGGAAAAGGGAGGCTAGTTTAGTCCAGTCCAAAATATTAGAGCAGACTTCATACCCAGACCACTCCAGCTGGCCCAGCTCTGGGAGAACATGTGGACCAGGAGACTTAACTGGAGTTTGAGACTCAGTGCACTCAACCCCCTTCCCTGACACCACTGGGTCTTGGTAGAAACCAGCTTCTTCTCTGGGGAGCCAGATCAAAGTTAGGGGCTTTCCTTTTTCTAAATTGAGCTAGGGAAAGGGGTTTGGAGGATGTGGGAAGGGGTTAAAGGAGTCTTTGTTCAGGACCTGAGTGCCACCTGCTGGTCATGTTTAGTTCCATGCACAAGGCCAAACCCAGGAAAGAGAAACTAAAAGGGCACTGCCCTCCCTAGTGAGACAAGAGGTGAGGAAGCAGGAAGGCTGGTTTCTTCATGAAGATCCAGAAAGTGTGACAGAGGGTCATTTTAGAGATCCTGGGGTGCCTTAGAAAAGTCTCTTGAGTCAAGATGGACCCCAACCAGGGCAGAAAGTAGCACCACCTGTGAGAGCAAAGCTGAGCCAGTCCTGAGTCCAGACAATGGCTCCAGTCTTAGTACTAGCTGTCCCCCCTTCCCCCAAACCCTATGGGGGTGAAGCATGACTGACTAGTAGACCCTAAAGGGGTAGTCTCTTTCAGCTCCCTTTTTTCAGGCACTGTGGCCACTTTGGGACCCTAGATTCAGACTGATCAAAGGTGATCTATGCCCTCCCATCATCAAGCATTGACAAAACTGGGAGTTTCTGGCCAACCCAAGAAGACCTGAGCATTTTCCAAATAGCTGTGTAGCTCTTGGTAACTCCTGATAGCAGGGTCTTCATCTGTGTTCTAAACTCCAGGGAAACTGACGATTTTTCCTTGGTACCAAGAAGGAAGATGGCTAACACATACCTCCAGGGAGAGGGCAAAACGGCCCATCATCCCCACCTATGCCACTGCAACATAGGCCAGTAAATCCCAGCTAAGCCCATGTATCCAGTGAGGTCTGAGGTTCTAATGACTGGCTGTACATCAAAATTACCTAGAGTGTGAGTATAATATGTATATACCTATTATACACATCTACACTAACATTTATTATACACACATGCACACACACATTTGGGCTGCTTCTATCAAGGAGCCTTTGAAATGTATTCAATCCCAGAGAGCCCACACTCAGATTGGAGTATCTTTGAGGCTCAAATAATTTCAGTCAAAATCCACAGCAAAACCTTGGACTAGGACCACTGCCTCTGCTTTTCTTCAATAATCAAAGGTGCAGATTCTCCTACTGGTAATCCAGCAACCTAGGAGGCTGAGGCAGGAGGATCGCAATTTCAGCAATGTAGCAATTTCAGTCCAGTTTCAGCAATGTAGCAAGACTTTGTCTTAAAATAAAAAATAAAAAATGGCTGGGGATGTAGTTCAGAGATAGACCAAGACCAACCTTGGGTTCAGTCCCGAGTACTGGAAAAATCATCATCATCATCAGAAACAGCAGCAGCCTTTGAAACTCATACCCATTAAACAGAACAAAATCCCTAAAGGGGCTCAGGAATTCGTAGGACCACCCTAAGAACTCTCTAGTCCCCCAGAACCACCCCCAACCAGCTGAGACCCTCTGAGGCCTAGCAGAATGTCAGCCACAGCTGGTCCTGAATCATGCTGCCCCCAGAAGCCCAGGGACAAAAATGGCCCTGGGTCCTTCAAGAGAAATGAGTCTCTGAGTCTTGGAAAGCTTCCAGACATTCTGGACAGTTACCAGAATAGCCTATATCCACCGCATTGCAGGCCTGGCCAGCCTCTGCAGACCCACTGCAGACCTGGCAGAGTCTGACCACTCATACTTGGGACCATTCATAAAAACCTCACTCTGATCTGCACTCTCCCTCTGTCCTGACTTCCTGTAGCAGGCCTCACCACACCTTGGGGCATTTGGTTCTATTCTCATGTGTGTCTCCCCAGTAAGATTTATAAACTCCTCGAAGATGGACGATCTTTTCAATTCCTCACAGTCCATAATGAAATAAATATGGAAATAAAATGCACTTTCCTTGACCCTCCCCATCCTGCCTCTTTCAAAGCATAGCGTCCTCTTGCTTCCATCTGCTCCCACTGCTGGTTCTTTAGGTGAGTGCCCTGAGAGCTTGGCAGTGCACTCCTAACTCTCTACCATTCCCTTCCACCAAGACTCGGTCCAAAGTTAAATGAAACAGCCTGTCCATTGAATAGCTCACACACAGGTGGAAAAAACAGAGACATCATCAACGATTTTGAGAGAATCAGACAAATGCCACGAGGAGCTGTGTTTCAAGTGCTATAGAGCCCCACAGGGCCTCAGAGGAAGTTTCCTGGAGAGGATGGAGAAGCCAATTCCTACAGGTTGAGGGAAGGTGGGGGACTCAGGCCAGAAGCTGATGAAAGAGAAGACATGAGGACATGTGTCACTCAACCCTTCAACAACATTACTGAACACCTTGCCTGTGGCAGGAAGAAGAATCCCTATTTCTTCTCGGGAAGCGGTCATATAAACAGTTTTGGTGTGAGGTGAAGCTCAGGGTACAGGGCAGTGGGCTCAAAGCCATTGTGTAAGAGGAGCTTCAGATGCAGTCAAAATTACTCTGGGAAATCTCTGAAGTTGCCAAGTCCTAAGTCTTTAGAAGCTCCCAGGACAATAATTTGTGTTTTTCTTGGCTTCAGAGCTCTGCCTGGCCTCTGTTTCTCCGGGCAATGAAGGACAAGGCTTATTTTTAAAAAGGAAGAATGACTAGAATAAATAAGAGGGTTTTCATCATGATTTTTATTCAAAAGAATTATATTAAGTTAAATGTACCTAGGCTGTTTCATGTAATAAATATGCTTAGGGTTGAGAGGGAGTGTGAGGGGAGCAAGTCCAGAGGATGCCAAGCTGGGCCCCTTCTCTACAGCACGCTTCTCACACCCGACTGTGCCTGCAGGCCTTCTGGGTATCTTGGTCCAAGGCAGATTCTGATTCAGTGGGTCTGGGGTAGGGTGCAGGAGTTGGAGTTATAATAAGCAGATGCTCATGTAGCCCCAGGGCTTTGGTCCAGGGACTGGGGAACAGTGAATAAACGGACTCTGCAGTGGGAGCAGCACCGTGGACAGGGTGAGTGGGGAGTGGCCACCAGATTCTCAATGGGGGAATGAAGTGGTAGTTAAGGCTGGAGTGGTGGGGTTCATTTAGGAGTTGGATAAGTGGTAGAGAAGGGGTCACATTCAGCTGCTTACAGGGAACTGGGTTGCCTATGGGGAAGTGGGCTATGTGTATTCATTCTTACTTCACAGAGATACTTTGTATATTACGCATGGGGGGAAATTCTTGACCCTAGAAAAATGAACTATCACAATTCTCAGAATACAAGGTCCTTTTGGTCTATGTTGTTTCTACATTTCTGATAAAGACTTAGTTACAAGAAATGGTTCCCTCTTAACAGTGACAAACAGCAGACACTTGGCCTCTCTGTGGGGATGGGGATGGGGGATAGGGAAGCAGTCCACCTGATGACCAGAGGTGGGCACCCCTACTCAGCTCCAGCTTGGTTGTGGTGCCAGAACACAGGCCCACAGTTGCCCAAAACCAGAAATCCCATATTGTTTGTATGAAGCTTCCAACTTTAAAATATTGGACACTAACTCAAAATTGTTTCCAACACTGTGAGTACTAAAGAGCTCAAGCATATGAGGTTGAAGAGGCCAATAGTGTCCTGTTTACAACTGTTGGCTAAAAGCGTTTGAAGCTGGGGTGTAGATGGCCAGGCCTACTTTTAGATGGATTCTGACCACAGCAGTGTCAGGGATGGATTGTGGGAGGGAGGAGCTGGAAGATAGAAGGCCTCTAAGGAGGCTCCTGGTAGCTTTGGCTAGAGAGAAGTCCCAGGGTGGGAACATCTAGGCATCTGGAGGAGGGAGGGTTGAGGCATGAGCAGATATGTACTGGAGGGAGAGTAGACTGGCTGGGGCAACCCGACAGGTTTCCAAATCAAGTGACTGGGGACCAGGGTGACATTCACCACAATAATAAATACAGGAACAGAAATATGCTTTAAGAGAAGGTTCTGGACAAGTGGAATTTAGGTGCCTCTGGGTTAGCCAATAGGTCATGGGAGTAGGGAGTCTGAAGTCAGAGGTAAAGCTTAATTAGCTTTCTAAAACACAGAATCTGATGAGATTACTATCACTTAATATCCTCTGATGGCTTCCCATTGACTAAATAGAAAATCCAGACTCCTCATCCTGGTAATCAAAGCCCTTCCAGATCTGTGTCTGCCAACCTCAGTGTTCCACACCCCAACACAGAAACCTGCTCCCCAGGCCTGCTGAACAACTCTGAGTTCCAGGAATAAGCTGTGTCTTTGTTCTTGTTAGGCCTTAGGCCTGTGATGCCTTTCTACCATATCCCTTTGTGTGTCTGGAAAATTCCTACTCCCGTCAGGTTCCAACATCTCTACTCTGAACCTTTAACTGACCCTGCCAAGCAGAAGTGAGCACACCCTTGTTTGTGCCATTCTTGAATTTTTATATGCTGCTTTTACTGCCCCATCTCTCCCTGCTGAAGGAATTTGCCCATCTAAACTCCTGGAATGCAGAGACCACATCTTAACTTTGTACCACATCCTAGCACAGATCCGGTGTATAGAAGACACTAGTTAAATGTTTAAAGAATAAGTGCCCCTTCTCTAGGAGGGTGAACTGCAAAGCTGGTCTGAAGGCAGTGTGTTTTCTCATTTCCCCAGGGGGCATCCAGCTCCTCCTCTGCTGCTGAAGGACAGCATGAGGCCCCAGGTCTGACCTCACCTCTGTTCTTTCTTTGCAGCTGGGGTATGGCCGTCAATGTGTACTCCACATCTGTGACCAGTGAAAATCTGAGTCGCCATGATATGCTTGCATGGGTCAATGACTCCCTGCACCTCAACTATACCAAGATAGAACAGCTCTGTTCAGGTAGGAGGTGGGGATGGGGAGCAGCTCTGCTGCAGGGAAAGGAAGCCAGGGTGAGAAGGCAGAAGAGTACAGCAAATAAGGTTTCTTGTCATTAGTATGAAGAAGAGCTGGAAAGCCAAAGTAGTCACAGTGCTTGAAGCTGAAGTCAGGAAACAAGCAGAAAAAGTGAAGAGGCAGAGAGGCGCCCATGGGGGGTCAAAAAACAGGCCACAGGTTAACAGCACAGGGTCAGTGTAGCTGCTGTGGGTCCAGCTCTCAGCTCCTATACTGCTGGTGCAGCTCTAGGAACATCATTACATCTCTCAAGGTTTCATTTTTCTCATCTGTACAGTGGCAATCCCATCAACTATCTACCTAGGGTCACTGTTAGGATTGAGCCACATTTACACAGTGTTCAGAATGGTGGTAGCATACAGTATGCAGCAATAGTAACAAATAGGCATATTCTTAGAAAGCTGGGGGGAAATTGGCTGTGTCTAACTGGTAAGTAGTATGATTGGCCTCACCCCATGACAAGGAGAGAGATGAGGGTCCAGGTCAGGGGAGTAGACCAGCACAGGGCCTGTGGGAGTGAGAGAACAGCTGAAGGGGAGCAGCTGGGACCTGCCTCAGTCAGCCGTGCCTCTCCACAGGGGCAGCCTACTGCCAGTTCATGGACATGCTCTTCCCTGGCTGTGTGCACTTGAGGAAGGTCAAGTTCCAAGCCAAACTAGAACATGAATACATCCACAACTTCAAGGTGCTGCAAGCAGCTTTCAAGAAGATGGGTGTTGACAAAGTAGGTGCCTGCCACTCTGGGGCCCTGAGGAGCTATGTACCCAGGGAAGAAGATGGCCCACCAGCTGGAGTGATGGGCTGCTTGGGTCACTCCAGTGTGTGTGTGTGTGTGTGTTCACTCCCTCCTCCACCCAACTCTCCAAAGGAAATGCTTCCCCAGCTCAAAGCACAGTGGGACCCACCACCACTTGCCATCCCTTTCTCCTCCACAGACCCCACACCCCTAAATACTCAGGCACTGGACACCACTCCTGTTGTGTGTCTCTGGAGAGCTGCAGAAATCTCCTTGCTCACTTCCCCGCCTCAATAGTCCCAGGGCTGTGGGTCTTGAGCTTTCAGCTCACGTGCAGGCAGCAGAACCAAGAGACATCCATACATAGTCCTTCCTGAGCCGATGGGAGAAGGATGGCTTCTGGATCACTGGCCGGCCTGCCAGCCTGCCTGTCTGTTCTGGTGCCATGGGAGGGGGGCAGGTGGAGAAGGTGGGCAATGCTGCGGCCCAGGGCTGGCTTTCCTGAGAGCAGCGGTCCTCTCACAGAGGAAGGTGGCCCTGTGCAGCAGGTGGCTAAAGTGCTCTGCTTATGTGGTCTATTTCAGATCATTCCTGTAGAAAAATTAGTGAAAGGAAAATTCCAAGATAATTTTGAGTTTATTCAGTGGTTTAAGAAATTCTTTGACGCAAACTATGATGGAAAGGATTACAACCCTCTGCTGGCGCGGCAGGGCCAGGACGTAGCACCACCTCCTAACCCAGGTGATCAGATCTTCAACAAATCCAAGAAACTCATTGGCACAGCAGGTAACGTGCCCGAGCTGGGGGAGGGAGTTTGGGGGGCCAGGCCGGCAGGACTCAACAGCCAGAAGTGCCCCCAGGGCCGCCGGCCTGGCCTTACCAGCCTGGAGGAGACTGTTATCACGGAGTTCAGATGGCGCCGCCTGCTGCCTGCTTGTTGGGAATCTCAGGAAGGGGTGAGAGGGCTCCAAAACCCACTCTGAAAGCCACCTGCACCAGCACAGTGGCAGCTGAGGCCCAGGGAACTTTGTTTCCTGTCCTAGCATGAGCTAACTTGTTTGCCTTCAAGATCACAGGCAGCAAAGTGGCATGATTTCTCTGTCCAAGTTCATTAGGCCAAGGCCTTATACCAGCACCATAGTCCTTTCCTGTCCCTGCCCTTTGTATACACAGGGGCAGGAGTTTGCCAAGCTGGATCCTATCTCCCCCCATTCCAAGGCCCTTAATGCGAAGTCCTCAAGAGATGAATCTCTAGAATGAGCCTTTGTCTGTGTGCTAAAGGGGCAGGGGAAGAAGCAATAGGGCCTTTGGGGGGACAGCAAGGTTGGGGAGGAAGAGAGAGGAGCAGCCCCAGCCTACATCTGACTCGTCATAGCAGAGCCGCCTCCTCTGTTTGCGCTGCTGTCCCGCCTGGGCCTGTCCCCACTCACCTGCTTGCTTTGCATTAGAAGCAGCCGCTCTATCTAGGGAGGTGAAGTGGCTAGAAAGCAAGTGGCCATAGCATGCAGGCTATGCTCAGAGGAGCTGGGGTCCCTGCCCAGCTGTGTGGCTAGAGGGTCCAGCCCAGCAGAGGGCAACAGAGCCCATCCTAAGACAGGGACCCAGGAGGTGTGGAACAGGTTTCACAGGGAGGGTGGCTTTGGGCTAGTTGCTTGTGTTAGGGGAAACCCTGAGCCAACTGCTTTCTCTTGGGTTCCTGCTGTCAGTTTAAGAGGGCCCTGAACTCTCCCAGCTCCACTTCCCTGATTCACAGCCCCAGCACCTCGGTCCTCCCTCAGGCCAGCTCTCTTTGTGCCCTGACTTCTCACACCTTCCTTTAGTTCCCTGTGGTCCCTGCTCTCCCAGGCTTGTCAAAGGGCTGCCTAGCTGCTGTAATGTCATGTGTGGCCGAGGCTCGAAGCCTAGATTTAGATGCCCTTCCTGAGTGGGGTGTGTCTGCCTGTCGCATGGGTCTGCCCCCGCAGTCCTCACACCTCGCTATCTTGTGCCATGTGAACTATAGGCTCCTGTGGCCACATCTGACTCTTTTCCTCTGGGCAGTTCCACAGAGGACATCCCCCACAGGCCCCAAGAACATGCAGACCTCTGGCCGACTGAGCAATGTGGCCCCACCCTGCATCCTCCGGAAGAATCCCCCATCAGCCCGAAATGGTGGCCATGAGACCGATGCCCAAATTCTTGAACTCAACCAACAGGTAAGTGGTATGGGAAAGGGTAGCTGAGATAGCCCTGGTACAAAGGCCAAGACATTGGGCATCAGAAGGTCAAGAGGGGGTGGGCAGGGGAGTCTGAGGCAGGGATTATAGCTTGAACATCACCTTCCACCTGAGCAGCTCCTGGACTTGAAGTTGACAGTGGACGGGCTGGAAAAGGAGCGAGACTTCTACTTCAGCAAACTGCGTGACATCGAGCTCATCTGCCAGGAACACGAGAGTGAAAACAGCCCTGTCATTTCAGGCATCATTGGCATTCTGTATGCCACTGAGGTGAGTGCTCCTTCGACTACTACTGGCCCAGGCCTGTGGGCCACCCTAAGACCAGAAGCATGGTAGAACCAGAAGGGACGTTGGAGAATATTTACTAATAAGGAGAGAGATGAAGTCACTAGCCCAGAGTCGCATACAGCCAGTAGCAGGAAAAGCAGGACTATAATTCGGGGCTTCTGGGTGCTCAGCCCTGTCTCCTACGCCCCCATATCAAACCTGACACCTCAGCCTGACCTGCCTGGATCACTAGCCCTCTTCCTTGCCCTCTCCAGGAAGGATTTGCACCCCCTGAGGATGATGAGATTGAAGAACACCAACAAGAAGACCAGGACGAGTACTGAGGGCGGCTCCAGCCCTGGCTGACTGCACGGCTCCGTGCCTCTCCCCATGCCCACCCCCACATTATAATTCTTTTCCTCCAGCCAGTCAGCCGGCCGGGTGCTTTGTGTCAGTGCCGCAGCATTGGGGAGCCCAGCGAGGGGGGTTGGGGGATGGGGCAGGTGAGCAGGCAGAGGCCTTGTCCTGGTCCCCAGTGGCACTGGCCCAGGGAGCAGGACCCCTGCCCACTCCCCACCCGTATTTATTTCCGTTGTCTCTATGCTGTGTTGGCCAACACTTCCCAGGGTGCTGCCGCCACCCACCCAGCCAGCCACCTGCTCCCCCAACAGCCAGCAGCTGTATATTTGACAAAGTCATTGGTATATTTTTACTTACTGGATTGTCCTTGCACTTTACCTGTTCTTTTCCAGGGCTGACAGCGGGGCTGGGGGCAGCATGCCTGGCTTGGCTCCCCTTCCCCTTGGCCCAGTCCAGGGCAGGACTCACTGATTCTTATTTATTTTGTCTTTTGACTTCCCAATAGTTGAGGGGGAAGGCTGATGTGAGGAGAAGGAGGGGACTGAGGAGGCAGTGCTGTGGCCCCAGGGGTCAGGGAGAAGGGAGGGGAGCATGCCGAGGGACAGCAGTGACTTCCTGGCGCTGGGCTCACTCACCCAAGACCTCTGTCCCAGCACCAAAGCCCAGTACTGCCCCAAGGCCCTCAGCTACTCCCTCCTGCAGCCTGGTTCACACCACACAGACTCTGCCTGGCCCTCACTGTACGTCTGCCTCCCACCCGCCAGCCTCCCCTCCCCTGCCCCTCGGGCACCAGCCTGCATATGTGTTCACTTTTATTTAAATAAACTTGTGTGGTAAAAAGTCTGTCCCGTGTCTCCTTCAACTCAGCCACAGCCTGGGTCTCAGGGCTTGTCACCTTCCAGCTACCCCTCCTCTCTAGAAGTGACGATCATGCAGCATAGCTTCACTGCCATCAGAAGCCACCACTGGCAGCCTGGTGTGGTGGAGCACACCTGAAATCCCAGCAACTGGGGAGGCTGAGGCAGGAGGATTGCAAGTTCAAAGCCATCCTCAGCAACAGCAAAGCACTACGCAATTCAGTGAGACCCTGTCTCTAAATAAAATACAAAATAGGGTTGGGGTTGTGGCTCAGTGGTTGAGTGCACCTGAATTCAATCCCTGGTACCCTCCCCCCACCAAAAAAAAAAAAAGAAGAAGAAGAAGAAAAAGAAACTACCACTGGCACTGGGCTGTGACCCAGGCCCAACTCTCAATACTGGTGACAGACTTCTAAGGGAAGACATGGGGGCCCAAGCCCTTTTCCCTGAGGAGGAACAAAGTCTGGAGCCATGGCTGATGATGGCAGCCCCATCAAGTGGTGGGGAGCTGGTCAAGGGGTACTTTGTTCCAGTCTCCTTTGGGCAAAATTGGATTGCATGTGGGCCCCCTGCACCTGTCAAAGCTCACATACCTCACAACAGTGATGCAGCTGAGGACAGGGACTCATGTGACAGCTAGAAGGGTATAGAGAATAAGCAGTTTTAGTCTGAGCACTAAAACCCAGGAAGATAGCAATGTCCCAGTAGTTCCTTTACAGAAAAAAGCAGTAATGGGAAGAGGGAGTCAGGACACTGCCACAGCACCCACATGGCCCCAGGGTGTGCCCAGCCCAGGGCTATCACAGCCAAGGGCCTGGAAACCCAACAGGGACCAACGGTGCTGATGTCAATGTGAGCACCTTGGAGCTACCCAAACCAGCTCTGAGGTCTGAAGCCCACAGGTGACACAGGTAGTAGAAACAGACTACAATTCAGAACTCTTGACTCATGGCACAGTGCTCATCCTCAGAGCCACAGAGGTGGGCCAGAAGCTCCTCCAGTTTCAGTTCAGCCCTGGCAGATATCTCCTCGACATCGTTAGTATGCCCATGACCAAAATGTAGTTAGGCAGTCTCTTCAGTGCTCTGCCCCAAGCCCCTCCTCCCAGACCACGGTCTTTCCGCTAATGATCCCAGTAGAGCCATAAATAACCATTCCCATCTGTTCATTCCTCATTCCTTTACCTTCTGACTCCCATTCCCACATACATAGATAATTCTGGATTTGTTCTTTTTCTTCTCCAACAAGTTCCTTGCTTGCTTTTATTTGTCTTGATGATGCTTAATCCCCTTCCCTAATATTAAAAGGCTTTCCCTCCATTATTCTAGTAGGTGCTATAAAAAGGTAGGGTCATTCTTCACTATCTAATGTTCATCTTCAGGCCAAGATCATCCTGATCATAAAGTGAATGTATGTGGTAGACAGCAAGATGCCCACATCATAATCCCCAGGGCCTGCGGATATTCAAGATTACATGGCACAGGCGATTAAGATTACAGATGGACTTGAGACTATGTACAACTGAACAACCTTAGTATAGAGATTCCTGGATTACCCAGGGGGCCCAATATAATCAAAAGTGTCATAAGGGTAGAAAAGGAAGGTAGAAAAGGTCAGAATGATATCATATCAAAGTCACTCAACCAACTCTTACTGGCTTTGAAGATCGAAGGGGCCATGAGTGAAGGCAGCCTGGAACATCTGGGAAAGCAGAACTGCCTTTTACCCTGGCGCCTCCAAGGACACACCCCTATAGTCATCTTGTTGCTGAAAGCTCCTTTCTAATCCCCAATGCCAATCCAATAACAAGGACACAGTTTTGAGAAAAAGGAAAAAAAAAGTTTATTGTTTTTCTACAAAGGAGAAACACAGGGGACTTCTATCCCAGAGGCTGTGATTCTGCCCATCAACAGGAACAGGGGGCTTTTAAAGAGGTGATTCAAAGGCTACGTTCCATGTGTTCTCTGTCTGGAATTGTAATTCACTTGTTAATTTGGGGGACAGTCATTTCTAAGATCTTCTGGTACCTTCCTCAAAGTCTGGATTACTTCATTCCCATGGTAGAAGTGCACTCAAGGAGAGATAAATCTGCTTAGGATGGGGAAAAAAAGGCAATCCTGTCTCCCCTAAGATTAGAGAGGAGCAGGGAGAGAGGAAGAGAAAGAAACACGTCCATTATAAAAATAAGTTGCAAACCAGGCGTGGTGGTGCATGCCTGTAATCCCGGTGGCTCAGGAGGCTGAGGCAAGAGGATTGCAAGTTCAAAGCCAGCCTCTGAATGGCAAGGGGCTAAGCAACTCAGTGAGACCCTGTCTCTAAATAAAACACAAAAAAGGACTGGGGATATGGCTCAGCAGTCGAGTACCCCTGAGTTTAATCCCCAGTTCAAAAAAAAAAAAAAACAAGTTGCAGTGTCAGAGCAGCAAGGGCTATATTTAAAACATAAAGAGGACCACTGTTACAACTTCCACTTTAGTCCAGGGAAATTTGACCCAGACTTCTGTCCTCCAGAATCCTAAAATGATAAATTTGTGTTGTTTTAAGCACTAGCTTTTGACAGTTACAGAAGTAAGGAGAAACTAATGCAATGGGCATGTTACTGAATGCCTGATCCTTGTTCCCAATGCCAATTCGTGCCAACTTAATAATGAGGACATGATTTTGAGTAAAAGGAAAAGGAAGGTTTATTGCTTTGCTAGCAAAGAAGAAACACAGGGAGACTCCAGTCCCAGTGGCTGTGGTTCTGCCCAGCAGGGAAAACAGAGAGCTTTTAAGGAAGCTCTTCCAAGAATTAAAACCAAGAATCAACAAATGGGATGGATTCAAACTAAAAAGTTTTTTTTCTCAGCAAAAGAAATAATATGTGAGGTGAATAGGGAGCCTACATCCTGGGAACAATTTTTTCACCCCTAACACATCAGATAGAGCTCTAATCTCTAGGGTATATACAGAGCTGAACAAGATAAGCACCAAAAAAACAAATAATCCAATCAATAAATGGGCCAAGGACCTGAACAGACACCTCTCAGAAGAGGATATACAATCAATCAACAAATATACAAAAAAAAAAAAAAATGCTCATCATTTCTAGCAGTCAGAGAAATGCAAATTAAAACTACTCTAAGATACCATCTCACTCCAGTAAGAGTGGCAGCCATTATGAAGACAGACAACAAGTGCTGGCAAGGATGTGGGGAAAAAGGTACACTCATACACTGCTGATGGGACTGCAAATTGGTGTGGTCAATTTGGAAAGCAGTATGGAGATTCCTTGGAAAACTGGGAATGGAACCACCATTTGACCTAACTATTCCTCTTCTCGGACTATACCCAAGGGAGCTAAAAACAGCATATTACAGGGACACAACCATATCAATGTTTATAGCATCGAATTCACAATAGCTAAACTGTGGAGCCAACCTAGATGTCCTTCAGTGGATGAATGGATAAAAAAAAATGTGGCATTTATACACAATGGAATATTACTCAGCAATAAAAAAGAATAAGATCATGGCATTTGCAGGGAAATGGATGGCATTAGAGAAGATATGCTAAGTGAAGTTAGCAAATCCAAAAAAAAAAAAATGCCGAATGTCTTTTCTGATATAAGGGGGGGTGACTCAAAATGGGGTTGGGAGGGAGAGCAAGAGAGGAAGATTGCCTCTAGATAGGGAATAGGGGTGGGAGGGAAAGGGAGGGAAAAGGGGAATAGCATGGATGGTGAAAGGAGACCCTCATCATTATACAAAATACATGTATGAAGATGTGAATTTGGTGTCAACATACCTTATATATAATCAGAGATATGATAAATTATTGTATAATGGTATATTAAGAATTGTAATGCAAATAAATAAATAAAGTTTCAGATCTTTAAAAAGAAAGAAAGAAAGAAAGAAGCTCTTCCAAGGCTACATCCAGGTGTGCCCTGGCAAGAGGTCCTAGGTGTACCCTGATAGTGTGTTGAAATTCACTTGTTAATTTGGGAAATAATCACTCCTAGTTCTTCTGGAGAACAGATAACTCAAGGTAATCTTGTTCCCCAACCCCAGGTTATGGAGGGAGAGAGAGAAAGGAAGAAAACATGTTCCTTTTAAAATAAGTAGCAAGGGCTATATTCAAAAGGTAGAATGGACCACTGTGACAGGCAAACGATGCTCAGTGACCTCATTCTTCTTGTCCCTACACTGAACACCACCTAACCTCTTTAGCATAACATCTTCTGGACATGGAAACCTCATGTGGGTACCTACCTACAAGCTTGCCTCTGTAGTGATGTCTAAGGCTGCCCTTCAAACATCTAGAGCTCAGGGATGTAAAGCCACTTGTTCCCCATGTCCTCCCACTACCCCACACCAAGGTGTCTTTCCTCTGGGACACTTAAGATAGTAAATGTAATTTTCTGTTCATACATTAGTCTCCCATACAGGCTTTAAGTTCCTCATGGCACAGGAGGTGTATCGCACAGCTCCACACCTAGCACAGGGCCTGACCCAGAAGGAAATGTTGCAGGATAAGTAAATGCATGGATTCTATTCCCTAAGTACCATGTTCCAACAGATAACCTGCCAGACATTTTGATGAGCAATAGAAAAAAAAAAAATCCCTCCCCTACCCTTAGGTTTCTGCCATGGAGCAGCCCCTCCTTTGCATCTAAAGAAAACCAGTTCTGCTTCTCTTCCCAAAATAGGGCCTCTTCTGTTGAAACCGGAGTTTGGGGATGAGACTAGATTTCCCGCTTCACCAATTTCCTCTGCAGGTGCTGGGGATATAGCTGAGTTGGTAGAGTGCTTGTCTTGCATGCACAAGGCCCTGGGTTCAATCTCCAGCAAGACATACAAAAAATATAATTCCTCTGGGTTCCTGTCTCACAAATTTTCATGAATAAACTCCAATGCAGGCGCAGGGGCACTTGTCTATAATTCCAACAGTTCAGGAGGCTGAGACAGGAGAATCGAGAGTTCAAAGCCCATCCCAGCAAAAGTGAGGTGCTAAGCAACTCAGTGAGACCCTGTCTCTAAATAAAATAAAAAACAGGGCTGGGGATGTGGCTCAGTGGTCAAGTGCCCCTGAGTTTAATCTGCAGTACCCCCCCACACACAAAAAAAGAATAAAATCCACACGCAATCACCAAAGGGAAGAGTAAATGGAGCAGGATTTATTTAAGCAAGAGCTAGGACTCCCACGATGCAGGAGGGGGCCTGATAGCAGAAAAATCCATTTTAATGTGCCAGCTTAGGAGTTTATATATAGTTCTGGGCAGAGCATGGAGCAACATGTATGTTAAACACCACGCATTGTAAAGTATTAAGGCTATATATAGTCCTCCTTTCCATCCAAGTTCACCCCCACCTTCCCTCATATAACTTCCATCTGGGTTCACCCCACCTTGAGTTTTCCATATCTGGGACAAAGCAGTTGGCTGGAAGTGTTCCCACAGAGAGCCTCAAGGTCTTCTACATTGGAAATAGGCCATGCCAGTGCTCATGAATATGTCTATGGTTAGCCTCCAGGTGTGGTTCCTGTGTCTGAATAAGATTGACCATTGATATTCTTTCTCACTGAAGGAATTGAACAAAGAGGGGGCGTTATTGTTGTCTTTTAAGTAGAGGTAAACCACTGATCTGAAAAACAAATTAATTAATAATGATCAGCCCAATTGTGTTCCCTGACAAAAGTATTTCAAGTCAGAGCCCCTTGAGGCAAAACCAGGGGAGGAGGTTCAAGAGCTGGGCATTTCCCACCTGCTTCCCCCCACACACACACAGCCACATTTGCTTTCCAAAACAGTAGAGCATGCCATCTTCCCACTGGATTCCCAGGACCTGAAGGATAAAGTCCAGATTCGGCAGGGAAGGCCCTTGGCATAATGGCTTCAAATCTCTTTCCAACCTCATCACTTCCAAAGTCCCATTAAGCATCGTCACACTGAATTTTCTTCTAGCTTCCCACCCTCTATGCCTTTGCTTAAATTAACTGACTTAATGGCAAATTGGTACAACCACTATGGAAAGCAGTATGAATGGAATGGAACCACCATTTGACCCAGTTATCCCACTCCTTGGTTTATACAGAGAACTTAAAATCAGCATACTATAGCTACATCAATGTTTATAGTAGCTCAATTCACAATAACTAGAACTATGGAACCAACCTAGATGCCCTTCAATAGATGAATGGATAAAGAAAATGTGTTACATATACACAATGGAATATTACTGAGCTTTAAAGAAGAATTAAATTATGACATTTGCAGGTAAATGGATGGAGCTGGAGAATACCATGCTAAGCGAAATAAGCCAAACCCCAAAAACCAAAGGCCAAATGTTTTCTCTGATAAGCAGATGCTTATCAGGTGTGTGGGGGTGAGTGGGGAAGAGTGAAGGAATTTTGGATTGTGTAGAGGGGAGTGACAGTGAGGGGAGGGGGTGCGGGGATGAGAAGGATGGTGGAATGGAGACAGACATCACCCTATATACATGTATGATTACACTACCAGTGTGACTCTGCACCATGTACAGCCAGAGGAAGGAGAAATTGTACTCCATTTGTGTACAATTGCCAAAATACATTCTACTGTCATGTATAACTAGTTAGAACAAATTAAAAAATAAATAAAGTGACTTAGCCTGGTACGGTGGTGCACACCTGCGTGCTTATAGTCCTAGTTACACAGAAGGCTGAGGCAGGAGAATCATTTCAGGCTAGGAGTTCAAGGTCAGCTTTGAACAAAGTGAGATCCTGTCTCAAACCAATTAACAAAGGACTCACACAATTGGAGTGTTCTCTCCACCTACCCTGATCCCCAACCCTGAAAATTCTCCCATTCCTCAGGACCTATCTCAAGTGCCGTCTCTTTCCTAAGGAGTTCATCAGTCCCTCAGTTGTGTATCCTGTTGAAAGGTATAGTCTATCATAGAATATATACTCCACCTCAGCATGGCAGGTATGCATCTCATCTTCAAACATAGGGGTCCTCCCTTTCCTGCCACATCTGTAACCTGGAATGGGCTCTGTTGATGGAAGCGAGAGCCTGCTCGTTCTCATTTCCTGGAAGGGGAACCCTGGCGCTAGCTAACCCAGTTTCCCAGAGCCGAGCAAAGGCGGGATTTCCACCAGAGTTTTTCAGGCCTCTCCACCTGGAACCCTCTCCACCTGGGGCCCTCTCCTCCTGGGCCCCTCTCCTCCTGGGGCCCTCTCCACCTGGGGCTCTCCCCACACTCGGCCCCTCCCTCCAGCCCACGTTCTCCTTTGTTCTTCCGCAGACTTTGCCCATTAAACCCAAAGTTAATCACTAGCACAGGAATGCTAGAATGAAAAAAAAAAAAAGCATTTAATTTTCAAACTCTCCCCACGTGAGAAATATTTCCATACCATCCTTCGAGCGCCACTAGAAAAATCAAGAAAAATGAAGAGTCCGTTTCCAGCTCAGCCAGCGCAGGTGGCCCTCCGCGCCCCAGGTGTCCCGGGAGACACGGGGCCGGGGTGCGGCGCGGCGCCAGCGGGGACTACGAGTCCCAAGCTGCCTAGCGGCGCCGGCGGCGGCAGACGTGGCACCGCGCGCGCCCGAGCCGGCCGGAAAGCCGGGAGGTGGTCAGGCGGAGGGCCGGAGCCATGGCGGCCAGGGCGGCGGGCGGGGGGCGCTGGGAGGTGGTGAAGAAGGGCCGGCGGCCGACGGCCGGCGGCGGTGGTCGAGGCGGCGGCGGGGACCGCCGGGCGCTCGGGGAGGCGAACGGAGTGTGGAAATACGACCTGACCCGTGAGTACCCGCCCGCCGCCACCGTCCCCGGCCTACCGGGCAGGGGCGCAGGGGCAGCTCCCTGAGCCCGGGCACCAAACTCTGGCGGGCTCTCGGATCGGGAGCCCGCGGGCTGACCCCGAGGCCACCCTGCCAGATGGCTCAAGGGGAGGTGGCTGTCTTCACGGCACAGATGGGAAAACTGAGGCCCAGCGGAGTCAGCTGGCCCAGGTTTCCGTGTCGAGGGGAACTGGGTTTTGGTCTTCAGCCCCTCAGGTCTCTGCACACAACACTCCCAGCTGCCCTGGCCTTCGCTGGCCTCTCCCCGCGGAGAGGCCAGCACTGTGCTACCTCACCCCTTAAGTAACCAGCAGGTCCAGGAGGGACCGTTGGGAGGCCCACTAGTGAGAGAAATGACCCGCCACACACTCAGCACGCACCAGGAGTGCATCTGAGGGGTGGAGAACACTTGTCACTTGTTGATTATAGACTTGTCACCTCAGAACCAAGAAGGAAAAAACCTGAGCTCTAGTAACACGCACCAAAGAGGCCAATCCTCTGTATCCACACCTCTACCAGTTCCCATACACTCTAATTTGTCTAATGAAGAACTGCCTGGCCTCTGTTCAAGAGCCCTGGACTGGCGTTGTGATGACCAAAAGCAGCCAACAGGAGGACTCCCTGCCCTGCTCCTAAGCAACCAGCAAGAGGAGTTGAGGAGACCTCCTCCTTGCAGATGAATTAGGTGCTGGTATGGTGGAGGAGACCATGGTTCCTGTGAGGTCCTAGGGACTTAAGTGTGGCCCCCTTTCTCTGCCTGTTTTCACCCCAGCTCCAATCCAGACCACAAGCACCCTTTATGAACGGGGCTTTGAGAAAATCATGAAGAGGCAAAATAAGGAACAGGTTCCACCCCCTGCTGTGGATCCTAAGAAACCCGCCAACAAGAAGCAGCCGAAGAAGGTAGCAGCTGTCACCAACCAAAATCAGAAGCAGGGCCGCTTCCGCAGCCTAGAGGAGGCCATGAGAGCTGTGAGTATCCCTAGACATGAGGTGTAGAAAGATTCAGGGGCTTGAAGAGCAGAGAAGATGGGGACAGGCAGTTAGGGACCTGTGGGATTTGGGATTCTATTAATTAGGCGGAGTTCAGGAAAAGATGAAAACCCCAAGGAGATGGAATATTTGCAGTCAAGAATGGAAGGGATATGGGAAATCTGTAGGGTGTACCAGGGAGGGGATAGAGAAGCTGATTCTGGTTCCCTCTCCCACGGAAGCAGTAATCTTACACTTTCCATCTTGTCCTTGTTTTTTTCCTCTTTATGGCTTAAGAGCACAGGGCCATGAGATCAGCATCCTCAGCTGTCCTCGTCCACACTTTTTGTGCATGTAACATAATGATGGCATTCTACATACTTATGCTAAAAACAGAAACCTTATTGCTTCCTACTACCACATCATTTGTCCATTCCCACCACCACCACCCTTCTTTCCTTCCACTCACTCCCAACTCACCATGGAGGCGTTTATCTTTGGCAGCTGGATGTGGCAGCTCTGCAGAAGGAACTGGACAAGAGCCAGAGTGTGTTCGTTGGAAACCCCTCTGTGTGGTTGAAGGACCTGGCCAGCTACCTCAACTACAAGCTCCAGGCTCCTCAGAGTGAACCCACACTCAGCCAGCATACTCATGGTTAGTCTTCCCAACACCCTTAGCTCAGACAAAATCAAGAAAATTCTAGAAAGGCTATTTGTTCATAACAGAGCTCAGTGCCCCCATCATCCTGATTCATACTTGGCTGTGCAAGTGTGTGGGCTTCCTTGGGAGAGGGAGGAACATCAGCCTCAGGGACCTCTGCCCCCACTCACTGTTCTCAAGGGAGAGCACCAGCATTCTCAGACTGGCAGGGCATTTGGTCCCAGTACTCACATAGAGGCCAACGGGCCCCAGATTATCCCTACAGCCTGGTGAGCCGAGAGCTGCGCGGGATCATCCGAGGGCTCCTGGCAAAGGCATCAGGGTCTCTGGACCTCTTTTTTGACCATTGTCTGTTCACCATGTTGCAAGAACTCGATAAGACACCAGGTGAGAGGGGCCCAGCAGAGAAATGTGCCGATTTTGACACTTTTTGGAAAGGGAGGAGATTAAGACTCAGTGGGCCCAGCTTCTGGGCTTACAGCTCCCAGGAGGGGAGATTTCAGGTTTGGGAAGCCAAGTAATGTAACAGTTTAAAACGTGTGTCTCTCCAGGGGAGTCATTACATGGTTACCGCATCTGCATCCAGGCCATTCTACAAGACAAGCCCAAGATTGCCACCATGAATCTGAGCAAGGTAAGCTTTGGATGGTGTTGGGGTCACCAGGGCCAGGACTGGGGAGGCTATTCAGAATCTAATTGTTGGACTATGTAGTGAGATAGAGGGAGACCCTATAACACCAGGAATGGTGCATGATGCTGTGAGCTCTCTCTGATATGCATGAGAATGCACTATTGACCCCTTCCTGACAGTGGGAAGATTTGGCACAGAGGGTTCTGCAGCTTTCCCAGGTCTAGCCAACCAGAAAGTGCAAAGTATGGGTGAAGCCCATTCTGTGAATCAGTACACCACACTGCTATAGTGCTCCACTATCACTTGGCTGACTCTTTTTCTCTCAGTTGACGTCTCTCTTCCCACCTTACTCTGCCCTGCCCTGGTGATCTCTCTTGTCCTGACCCCCCATCCCTTCTCAGTTCCTGGAACTGCTGAGGTCCCACCAGAACCGGCCAGCAAAGTGCCTGACCATCATGTGGGCCCTGGGACAAGCAGGTTTTGCCAACCTCACCGAGGGACTGAAAGGTAACAAGGAAGTGAGGAAGAAAGGGAAGGTCTTGGAGCCCGGGCACTCCCCTTGGTGTGCCCAGTGGACAGGCTGAAGCCTTCTCCCTGACCTTTGTCTCTGTAGTGTGGCTGGGGATCATGCTGCCTGTGCTGGGCATCAAGTCTCTGTCTCCCTTTGCCATCTCATACCTGGATCGGCTGCTCCTGTGAGTAATGGGGGGACAGCAAGGGGAAGGCCCAGGGTGTCCACAGGATGCTGTTTCGGCAAAATGGGATGCTGTGATCCTGGTCTCCATAGATGCGAGGAAAATCAGGACAGCTCCTCCCACCTCCAAATGTGATGGTGAGGAAGGAAAGGGAGGGAACCATTAAGGGCTGGGGGAGGGGTAGTGTTTATGCCCTTTTTCCTGTATATTGTCCTAACTAGGGTCGTGGCCAAACAGCTGACCTGAGTAGTGGTCTCCAACAAGCCTGTTTCTTCCTCCCTCTGTCCTCAAGGATGCATCCAAACCTCACCAAGGGCTTTGGCATGATTGGCCCCAAGGACTTCTTCCCACTTTTGGACTTTGCCTATATGCCCAACAACTCCTTGTCACCCAGGTAGGTCTGCCCTGCTCAGCCCTGCTGTGAAGGGATCCTAGTTCAAGGTCAGGCCCAGGCACTATATTTCCATCCCTTCTCCCCCAGCTGCCCAAGATCTGAGGTTCACAGCCTAGAAGTTCAAGGGTGGATTTCAAGGAATCAGTGAATCCCCAAAATTATATAACCCTTGAGTGTGATTAGCACGTGGATATTTCCATAAGGAGAGGGAGGGCCTGTGTCTTTCAACAGATTTTCCAAGGAGTCCTGATTTAAAATATTCATAGTCATCACAAGGTCTTTAGTGACTCTCCCCTCAGCCAGGGCGTGGGCTGTGAGGCAGGCAAAAGGCTCAGTGGCATAGCTCCTTTTACAGCTGTGCCTGGACCTCCTCCCACCCCTCTGCAGCCTGCAGGAACAGCTGTGTAAGCTCTACCCCCGACTGAAGGTGCTGGCATTTGGAGCAAAGCCGGAATCTACCCTGCATACCTACTTCCCTTCCTTCCTGTCCAGAGCCACCCCTAACTGTCCGTCTGGGATGAAGAAAGAGGTAAGGAACTGGCGTCAGGCTTGTCACTTGCCCAGTTCAGCTCTGGTAGCTCCGTCTGCTGACAAAGGTCCTGTCTTCTTGGAGCCTGTATCCCAGTATTTCCTTAGTTCACTTCCACAGCCACCTGTCTACTCCCTCACACCTGCCTTTAGGAGCACAATTGTTAAAGGGTAGCATATTCAGGCCTGGGACATCTTTGGTGTCCTGTGCCTTAGAAATGAGCAATCTTTGAGTTCAGTCTCTAGCTCAGGAGCCCCTCTTCCCCCTGATAGCGTCTCTCAGAGCTTACAGGAATCTTGATCGTATTTCTACACCTGTGGGGTGGATGTGCTGCCCAGGTGGCCTCTGGGTGTTTTCCCTCTCTATCAGCCCCAACCCTCAGCAATCTCTCTTGTGTCCTCTTCTGCAGCTCCTGGGCAGCCTGACCCAGTGCCTGACAGTAGACCCCCTCAGCACCAGCATCTGGAGGCAGCTGTACATCAAACACCTGTCACAATCCAGGCAGGTGGGGGTAGGGCTCTGATCCACAGAGAAGCCTCCCAGTTCATGCTCCCCAGCCTGTGACTGGCCCGTCCTTATCCTAGAAGTAGGGGGAACATTGGTCTTTGTTCTGTTAGCTCATACCACCCAGCTTCAGTAGGAGTTTTGTTGGAGTTCCCTCCCTTTCCTCCCTCTAGGGAGCTGCTTCTCTGTGGATAGGGGGTGGAAGGTCTTTCATTCTGAAGGAGCCAGGGCCACAGGGGGTTATAAGAAGGTGGGAAGGCTGAGCAGCCACCTAAATACAAGGGTGTGCTTTCCCCACAGCCTGCTGTTGGAGCACTTGCTCAAGTCCTGGGAGCGGATTCCCAAGAAGGTAAGGAGCTAAGAGGATATAGCAGGCTGGGCCTCACCTGGGTTCTGAGTTCGTGCCCTTCAGCCACTGTCTTCCTTTCCCTCTGTTCTTGGCATGAAAAGTGAAACAGGGTGGAGGCTCAGGATTCTCTAATGGGCTAGATCTCATGTTCTCAATCCAGCTTTTGTTGTCTTAAAGGTACAGAAGCCTCTGCAAGAAACCATTCAGTCCTTCAAGCTTACCAACCAGGAGCTACTAAAGAAGGGCAGCAGTAACAACCAGCATGTTGTCACCTGTGATGTGGCCTGCAAGGTGCGAGCACTCAGCTTCTCCAACCAACTAATGGTCCTACATCTCTCAGTATTCTCCGGGTTGGGCCTGGATCATACCCCTGCCCCACATGTCTTGCCCCCACCTCACCCCTGACTTGGGGCTAATGTGCAGGCCTTCCTCCTAGAAGAGGCCTGCCTAGAGGCAAGGACCAGACTCTCCCTTCTGACCACTGTTTCTTCCCGTCTCCTACCAGGGCTTGTTGCAACAGGCACGGGGCCCTCGGCCACCCTGGACCCGGCTATTGCTATTGCTGCTGGTCTTTGCCATAGGTTTCCTGTGTCATGACATCCGGTCACACAACTCTTTTCATGGTAAGCGGTGATTGGCAATCGAGAAAGAGAGAAGATGGTGGGCACAGAGCTAGATGTAGCACCCCAGTACCTACATTTGTCCTAATGTATTCTCAATGCCACCAAATGAACATTTTTCAGACTGAATTTTCTGTTTTCTGTCTAAAAATGTGACATTACCACTTCAGAGTGCACTGGTGCTTGCAGTATAGAAATAATTGTATATTCAAGACATCCGTTGACTTAAGTATTAACCTCCTTTTAATTCCTGAGGAAATTGAAGCTCAGAAATATTTAACTATTAGCTTAATATCATAGCTAGCACACAGTGGCACATACCTGTGCTAATAATTACTTGTAAGGCTAAGGCAAGGGGATTGCAAGTTTGAGGCCAGCCCAAGCAACTTAGCAAGACCCTGTCTCAAAAAATAAAAAAATGGGCAAGCTGGGCATATTAGCACATGCCTGTAATCCCAGTGACTTGGGAGGCTGAGGCAGGAGGATCTCAAGTTTAAGGCTAGCCTCAGCAACTTAACAAGACTCTATCTCAATATAAAAAATAAGGGATAGGGAATAGTCCAGTGATAGAGCACCCCTGGGTTCAATCCCCAGTACTGCCTAAAATTAAAAAATAAATAAATAAAATCACAGCTAGTAAATAGAAGGGCAAATGCTCAGACCTGAGGCTTCCTGACACCCAAGTCCAGGACTCCACCTTATGCCTGTTCCTCCTGTTCACCTGACCCAAGAGAAGATTCAGCCCCCTAGGCTCACATGCCTCCCTCCAAGCCTGCTCCAGACTAATTGAAGTCAGCTTTTCAACCCTTGAGCACTCAAAGTTCTGCCCCACTGCTCCACCTCACTTTGCCTGCCCAGGGACTTTATCTGTCTGTCATCCAAGTCCCTGCCCCTCTCAACTCCCAGCTCACCAGGGCCTCCTTTTCTCAGCCTCCCTCACTGGCAGGTTGCTTCAGTCATCTGGTTTCTTGCCTGCTGGCCAGCAAGTATATGCCAGACTTTACTCCTACAGCCTGCAAGGCTACAGGTGAGCTGCTCCCAGGGAAGATAGAGGAGTGTAAGAGGGAAGGTTTGGGGTTCAGGGTGGTACAGGTGGCTATGTGGGAATTAGCAATCAACAGGAGGTGCTGTGGTCTTCCTTTCTCAAGGCCTCCCTTTCCCTAGCAATTTTTGAGGAGCTGAACTGGCCTGCAGGAGCTAAGAACCCTCTCATCCCCTCTGTCTTCTCCACAGCTGGCTAGAGGAGACATTGCCAGCCTGTGGCTCCCACCTGCTTACCATGATACAACCCAGTTTGCAACAGGCCTGGGCCCACACCAATGCCACAGTCAGCTTCCTTTCTGCCCACTGTGCCTCCCACCTTGCCTGGTTTAGTGACAGCTTCACCAGCCTCTCTCAGAGGGTAAGCACGAAAAGAGACGGGCTGGTCTTCCCAAGAGATCTTGGGAAGATATAGCCCAATGTGGATAGGATCCTTAGGGCCAGGATGCATTGCCCTGGGTGCCCTGACCCCAGCCATTCCCCATTGTTTAGCTACAGATTCAGCTTCCTGACACCCTGCACCAGCTGCTCCATTATCTGAGGGAGCTGTTCCTGCTTCTCTACCAGAGTGTGCTGCTGCCTATTTGGCATATGCTGCTTGAGGCTCTTTCCCGAGCCCAGGAGTACTGCCATGAGGTGTGCAGGTAAGACCTTCACCCAGAGCTCGGGCAGGCCCTCCTAATGGGCCTACTTTCTGTCCCCGGGACAGTGCATCATTATTCAGTCTCATGCTGCCCTGATCCTTACATACCCGGGCCACTCTGGAATGAAGGTTGTGGGTCTAAGCTACAGCCTGTGATTTGACACAGCTGCATGCACACATACCCCTGCCCCTAAAATATTCTGCTTTTCTCCCAGAGGTGAGGTGACCTGGGACTGCCTGAGGACACAGCTCAACGAGGCTGTCCACTGGACCTGGCTCTGCCTACAGGACATCACAGTAGCTTTCTTGGACTGGGGACTTGCCATGATATCCCAGCAATAGGCCCTGCCTTCCTGACCACTGATTCTGTCATAAGCAGGCCATCTGAGACTGCTGGAGGGTAGAAGGTGACTCTTTTAATTTGGTGCCTGAGTTCTGTCTCCTAGGCAAAGTAGTCAGTTGCTTCTGGCCCAGTTCCTCCATCTTTAGTAGGGGCTGGGCCAGAGATCTCTCAATCTGCCCACAAGTCCATGGGAGGACCCACAGGGCTTTGTGGGAGCTGTGCAATGGGCCTTCATCCTTGGGCTGGTAACCTATACTACTCTCTTGCCTCCTGCTCTCCACTGCCCTCCATCTCACTTCTAAAGCCCCAAATTCATCTCCAAAAAGATGAGACTCTCAGCAAGTTTCACAGTCTCTCTTTTCATTATCAGTCACAACCTTAGTTACAACAGAAAAAGACTAGCGGCTTCCAGACTGATCGAGCAGCACAGTGGGCAACAGCAGCTTCACCTCTGCCTGCAGCCTGCATGTGCTGACAGTGGATCTGGGGGCCTGGTGGAAATGCATCTTACCTCAGAACACCCAGAAGGCCCTTTGAGGTCTATCACTACCCGCTCCCATCAGAGTCCTACCTAACATCAACTCTCCATACCACTTCAGTGCTGGGGGCTCTGCCTCAAAGTTCAGTTTCTCCACTACCCACCCTACTATCCACCTGGAAAGCAGAGCCCAGGTAGCTGTGTGCCTTGGGCCCCAGGAACCTTCCATTAGCCTGTTGAGACAGGAGTCCACATATGGCTCCTAGGTGTGCCTACTAGGTGAAATAAAGGACACAGGTTTGATTTCTAGCTTTCCTCTCTGTGTTGTTGTACAGAAATTATAGTTATGGGAAAGACAACAAAATAGTAGTCCCCCTGCCCTCCTGAGGATTGTAGCCATTGATTGTATTTGAGCTTCTGGCAGGGAAAGTCTATATCCATCGTTCAACAAAGCTAGACACCCTTCCTCTTGTTACCCTAACTATATTGTCTGACTTGTTACTGTGATTCACATTCCAAGATTTGCCTCGATAGCTTGAATGTTTTATGAGAAAGTGAGTGAAAGATAATGACTCCAAGAGACAAACCCAGGACTTATCACCAAAGTCCCTTTCTAATTTTTGTCTGAGACATAAATAAAAATCAGGCCCATGTTCAGTTCTTACCCAGGTTTCTTTCCTCAATGTCTCAAATCTAAGCAGTTCTTAGGGATGCCATTCTAACTTCACAGGATGATTTCTGCTTCCCTGGCACCTTGTGGTGCTTAGATACCCTTGCTTTTCCCACAGTGAGATTATAGAAAATGTGCAGATGCTTGACCCAAAGTGAGGTCATGAAGACTATAGCACTATACGCTTTTATTGCCTCTTCTCTTGGGAAGCAAACAACCCATGTGAGGCGTATTCCTTGCTTACCTAGTGACAGTTAGCCATGACCATTTTTCCCAGAGAAGAGAAACATTACCCAGCAAAGAGCCAACCAAGGTGTAGGCCTGCTGGGCTGGATTGTTCAAGAGCCCCAGAACCTTGGGCATTTCCTCAATTAGGCACAAACAGGTTCCCTAAGAATAGGAAGTGCTTGTAACTAGCTGTATTCAAGGTAAGTTGGACTGGGAGGCTGGGTCAGCAACAGCACAAGCCAAGATAGCATTCCCTACCATGATAACCAGTCTAAGGCTCCTGGGCTGAGTTCTTTGAATTTAGCACCTCACAATGTTACAAGTGCTGTGCTGGCTTCTAATGTTTGTACTAGATTTACCTTATTAGATTCATGTCATTTCTGAAACTAGCCCTTGAGGTCAACATTTTTTTAGTCAATTTAGATTGTAGGAGTCCCCACAGCCTCTCTGAATGATACTGACACCTTAATAGGCAGTAGGGCAGTTTGAGTATCATTATCTCTAGTGATTGCCAACACTTGTGTGGACCTAAAAATAATACACCTCATTTCTAAACTGTCCTATTATTTTGTAAGTCTGAAAGCAAGTTTCCATGTTTCTCTGTGTGTGTGTGTAGTCCATAGCTTCGGTTTTCTGAACAGGACAGGCTGGTAGGTCATCTGACTTACTATAGACATATATGGCTAGACTCACACCTGAGGTATTATGTGTCCATTCTCAAAATGCCGTCCCACCCCAGAGTGGATCTTTCCCTATTTCAAATGCCCCACTGTCAAATACACTGATGTTTTTGCGATTGGATGACTTCTGAGCATTTTAATAACTCCTAAGGGGTTTTGATTTAAGTGGATGCTTAAAGTGATCCATCCTCTTACTACATAAGCTTCACAGTTCTGTTCCCAAAGGTGCTTGAAGGCATTAAGGGACTGCTTTTCCCTATGGTATTCCATTTATATTGGGCAGTTTCTGTTGCCCTAGACTTGGAAATATAAAGGAATCTGGAGGCAGCTTCCAGGGTATGGGTGAATATTTATAGAATCTTGAATATTCTGCCTATTAGTAAAAAGCGTGTATTCCCAATGTGGTGATGAGTGTTGGCATAATTTTTTACTGTGTTAGTGCACCCCAGTTACTAATTTTTAATAGTCTTAACTTCTTTAGACTATTAAAAAATGAGCAAAAGTATAGGCTCCCACCTTCTCTGCACGCGCACACACACACACACACTGCCTCCCCACCAACATCTCACACCATTGTGGTACCTGCATGTGTTGATTGATTAATCTATACTGCCTCATGGTTACCACCCAAAGTACACAGCTTATACTGGGTTTCACTATTTGTTTTGTACACTCAGTAGGTTACGCTAAATGCCTAATGATATATGTCTTCCACTTTACATGCCAGCTTCACTGATCTAGAAATCCCCTGGACTTCACCTGTTCCTCCCTCCCCCTCTCCCAGAGCCACTGGCAACCTCTAGTCTTTTGGTCTGTGGCATTATGCCTTTCCACAATGCCATGACATTGATCGCTACAAATATTTATAGTTAGAATCTCTCCCACCAAAGAGATAAGATTTAGGTTCCAGGTCCCAAACATCAGACTTGAGATTCAGATGAATTGAAATCATAACTCTCATCCTGAAGCAATTGTTTCTGTGTAGGATTAGGAAATCACACTAAAAAAGGAAAAGTCAACTGGAAGTTTCTTCACTTAAATTTGAGTTTCTCATAAATTTGCCATGTTCCTATTAGACGACCTGTTCCATGATTCCTGGGCCACAGCCACTTCTTTTGATGGTTTGGCTCCATCTCTGGATACTATTGAGGGAATCTGGCATCATGAGTATTTACCCGGGAACAGATTCTACTATGGAAAAATCTGGGGCTGAAAGTGATACCTAGAAATGTTTTTCTGAGATAGGGAAAGCAAGGTTTTCTACTCTTAATCCCAAGTGCAGTAGTGTTAAAACTACAGAGAAAAGCATGGTTTAGTTTTCACATTTAGTCACATGTCACATACAGAACATCAAATACTACTGGAAGAAAATGTTACTGTCTATGTCTACAAGCTAGAGTGGGAGAAAAGACCAGGCTAATAAGATCCCTGTGTGTTGATGGTGGAGAATCTCTGAAGTCAGAGATAATTTAAATTTTCTCCTCATAGTTCATTGGGCACCTGAAGAAGGCCATTAAGTGAAATCCTCTGTAAGCCAAATGAGGCCATCAAGGAAGCTGCCTGGAAAAATCCTCACCAAAGTTTAAGGCTCTGAAGTTATTTGGACTATAATATTAAAATAAAGAACCTGGGCAGCCTACTGTCATTTTATCATCATCATTATTATTACTTTATTATTAATATTTGTGTTTTTTTTGGGGGGTGGGGGCGGGTACCAGGGATTGAACTCAGAGACACTCGACTACTGAGCCACATCCCGGGCCCTATTTTGTATTTTATTTAGAGACAGGGTCTCACTGAGTTGTTTAGGGCTTTGCTTTTGCTTAGGCTGGCTTTGAATTCTCAGTCCTCCTGCCTCAGCCCCCTGAGCCACTGGGATTACAGATGTATATCACAGCACCCAGCTGTCACTATCATTATTAAACATTGCATTGTGATGGCGTACAGTAGTAGCTCGGGAGGCTAAGGCAGGAGGATCATGGATTCAAAGCCAGCCTTAGAAACTTATTGAGACACAACTCAGCAAGACCCTCTCTCTAAATAAAATACAAAAAAGGGCTGTGGATGTGGCTCAGTGGTTAAGCCTCCTGGATTTCATCCCTGGTACCAAAAAAAAAAGGTGTCAACTTTCTAACCTATTGATTTTTTTTTTTTAGATAGAGAGAGAAAGAGAATTTTAACATTTATTTTAGTTTTCGGCGGACACAACATCTTTTTTGGTATGTGGTGCTGAGGATCGAACCCGGGCCGCACGCATGCCAGGCGAGTGCACTACCGCTTGAGCCACATCCCCAGCCCCCTATTGATTTTCAAAGTGTGTTCAGTGGACTCTGGGGAGTCTTACGACCCTTTTAGGGATTCTGAGAATTCAGAATTATTTTCATAATAATAGTAAAATATCATTCACCTTTGTTCCAGCATTGACATGAGCTCTGCTGTGTGTGAAAACAAGTATGAATCAAGGCAGTGGCTCCAAAATATACTAATAGTCATTGTATTTCTCATCCCTAACATTTCACATTACTTTTTAAAAAGCCAGTTTCACTTAAGAATGCCCTTGATGAAGTGGTAAAATGTATTAATTAAAATGTATTAATTTTTGTAGAAAGTCTTGATATCAGGAAGTGTGAGTCCTCCAACTTTGTTTTTTTCAGTATTATTTGGCTACTTGGGAGATGTTGAAATTCTTTATGAATTTGAGGATTGTAGTTTCTATTTATACAATAAGTCGTTGGAATTTTGATAGGGATTGTAGAGAACTTATAGATTGGGTGGTATTGTCATTTTAACAATATTAAGCCTCCTAATCCATCCACCCAGAATGTCTTTTTGTTTAGGTCTTTTAATTTTTCTGGGCAATGTTTTGTAGTTTTCAGTGTACAACTCTTCTACCTCCATGTTTATATTTATTCCAAAGCACTTTTATCATTTCGGATACTATTGTAAATGCAATCGTTTTCTTTTCAGATTGTTCGTTACTGGTGTATAGAAACACAACTGTTTATGGTAATGTGTTGTCATTCTTGTCCTCTGCTACTTTGCTGAATTTGTTTCTTAACTCTATTTTTTTTTTTTTTTGGCAAATTCTTTGGGGTTTTCTATGTATCAGATCATGTCATCTGTAAATGGGGTCATTTTACTTCTTCCTTTCTCATTTGGATGTCTTTTATTTCTTGTTCTTGTTTAGTTGCTCTGACTAGAACTTGGAGTGCAATGGTGAAGGTGGGCATCCTTGTCTTCCCAATCTTAGAGAGAAAGTTTTCAGTCTTTCATACTGGGATGATACAAAGCTGTGGGTTTTTCATAAATACGAAAGTTCCCTTCCAGTTCTAGTTTTCTGTATGTTTCATCATGAAACAGTGATGGATTTTGCCAAATGCCTTTTTGCATCAACTGAGATGAGCATATGATTTTCTACTCCATCCTATCAATGTGCATTATGCTGATTGATTTTCTTGTGTGAACACCCTCACCTTACTTCAATAAGTCTCACTTGTTGTTGTCCTCTTGATAAGATGTTGGATTCAGTTTGCTACTATGTTGTTGAGGATTTTTGCAACTATTCATAAAGAATATTGATATGTAGTTGTTCCTTGTCTAGTTTTATTTATATTATTTGGCTACTTGTGAGACCTTGAAATTCCTTATCGGTGTGATATTGGCCTCACAGAATGAATTAGGAAGAATTTTTCTATTTTTAAGAAGAGTTTGAAAGGATTGATATTAATTCTTTCTTTAAATGTTTGGTAGAATTCACATTAAAATTTTCTGGTCCTGGACTTCTTTCTATTGGGAGGTTTTGGGTTACTGATTTAATCTCTTTTTATATTTCTTTTCAGGATTTTCTCTTCTGGAGTCAGTCTGGGTCATTTATTTTTTTTCCTAGGAATTTGTCCTTTTTAACCTAGATTACCTAATTTTTTGTCATAGTATTTATTCTCTTTTATTTCATTTATTTATTTTTGGTACCAGAGATTGAATTCAGGGGCACTTGACCACTGAGCCACATCCCCAGCCCTATTTTGTATTTTATTTAGAGATAGGGTCTCACTGAGTTGCTTATTAACTCGATTATTTGCTGAGGCTGGCTTGAATTCTTCCTCCTGCCTCAGCCTCCCAAGCCACTGGGAGGTGCACCCTGGCTTATTCTCTTTTAATCCTTTGTATTTTTGTAAGCTTGATAGGAAGTCCCCACATTCCTTTCTGATTTTAGTTTTTGTGTCTTCTATCTTTCTTTGTCATCTTTGCTAAAGGTTGATAATTTTGTTGATCCTTTCAATGAGCCAACTTTAAGTTTTATCAGTTTCTTATTTTTTATTTTCTATTTATTTAATTTCCCTCTAACGTATTATTTCCCTCCTTCTGCTACCTTTTTTTTCCTAGTTCAAATTAGAAAATTATAAAGTTAGGCTAATGATGTGAGATCATTTTCTCCTTTTTTAAATATAGGCATATACTATATTAAATTTAATATAAGCATGTACTGCTATAAATTTCCCCTTGAGTACTATTTTTGCCGCATCCCATATGTTTTGATATGTTATGCTCTCATTTCCATTCACCTCTAAGAATTTTCCAATTCCCTTTGCCCATTTGTTGCCTAAGAGTTATGTTGTTTAATTTCCACATACAACAGATTATCCAGTTTTCCTTCTCTTATTGTTTTCTAGCATCATTACAATTTCAGTCCTTTGAAATTTCTTTTTTTCTTTTTTTTTAGAGAGAGAGAGAGAATTTTTAATATTTATTTTTTAGTTTTCGGTGGACACAACATCTTATTTTATTTTTATGTGGTGCTGAGGATCGAACCCAGCGCCCCGCACATGCCAGGCAAGCGTGCTACTGCTTGAGCCACATCCCCAGCCCCCTTTGAAATTTCTTGAGATTTATTTGTTGCCTAACTGTGATCCATCCAGGAGAATGTTCTATGTGCTCTTGAATAGAATGTAAGTTTGGCTGTTGTTGGATGGTTCTATGGATTTTTGTCAGATCTTGTGTGTTTGTAGTATTGATTAGATCCTCCATTTCTTTACTGAGTTTCTGTCTTGATGTTCTATTTATTGCTGAAGATGGGATACTGAAGTTTCCAACTGCTATTGAACAATTTGTATTATTT